CCACAAAATGCACATAGGTCTTTCTGTTAAGCAGCCACTTAACACTTGAAGTTCCTCCTCAAAATAGTCCCCTCATGCTATGCATGTGCTGTTGCCTGCAGTGTTAACTTAGAGATAAAATTATTTCCCTTCTATATACTTTTAATTCAGAGCTTCTGCATTAAATTCACTACTTCAATGCCAGTTGAGGAAAAAAACCAAGGTACTGCGGAATGGGCATGCAGTTGCTTCCCCACCCTCACAGCTTGTTACAGGCTTGGTTCTGTTCTTTGTACAGTTCAAGTTAACGTATTTTATTTCTCCTTGTTACTCTATCTGTCATAGCCAAAAAGCCAAAAAGCTCTGCAATTTGGAGGAATCGTGTTCTGCTGGTGTACACCTTCAGGGGTGGGTTTTGTGTTTTTTTTTTTTTCATTAGGGCAGGGCGATCACTATTCCAGAAATTAAAGCTGTATTTTTAAAAGTTTTGAACTTGGCATTTGAACATTGCTTTTTGTTGTTGGTTTTGTTTGGGTTTTAATTGTATTAGACTTCTTCCTGCTTAGTTCAGACAAAACCATGTGTGTACAGCTGCCTGGCTGGGGGTAGGGGCGTGTTGTTTTTTAAACATCACCATCCAGGAAAATAAAAGTGCTGTAAAACCAACAAGGTTTTTTGCAATTTCCTTTGTGATTCTGTGTTAAAATTTGCTCTGGCCTTTTGCCTCTCATAAACTACAGGGAGGTGCTGCAGGAAACTCAGCTCTCCAGTATGGCAGGAGCCTCCAGCTAGTACCAAAACTTTGCATTATCCCTGGCTGGTTAACATCCACATTCTTTCTTGTCAGCTTTCTTTCAAAGCTTAAACAGACCTTCTCTCTCGCACTGCAATGTGTTTAGAAACAAATTAATGGCCCTTTCCCTGCTTTTGCCAAAAAGTAAAAAAAAAGGAAGCACCCACAACATACACTGTCCTGCTTCTGTTTACCACACCAGTCCTTCATCACAACAGTTGTGCTTTCCATGTCTTCCTTGAATACCGGCTAACCACAACGCTGTGCTGGCTCAGGTGACGGGTTACCTTCATTTTCATCCAGCTTTTTAGTGACTTCAGCCCACAGCATGCTCTCATCTTTTTCCACACGCTGACACCCCTTTCTGACTTTCTGGCCTTTTCATTCCCACATTAAGCTACCAGTGGCTGGTGCTGCGCCTGACCTACTGATCTGGTGACGCGCTGCAACCGGACTGCCTTCCAGCCACGCTGGCTGTCCCACGTCCTCTGGTCCACGCTGTTTGCACACCACAGGTCCTGAGCTAAGTGCCTGCAAGAGCATGCTGTCCTGAAATTAGAGGGAGGGAAAAATCTGACCCCCTTGCATTCATGATACCATATTTACCAAGAAATACATGAGTAGCAATATCCTGACACAATTTGCCTTGGATGACCCTATGGTGAGTCCTTCCCCTGGCAAAGTGAGTGTGAAAGCTCCCATGTGCCACTGTCCCAAGTGGGCTTCCAAGTTAAAGATCAGCCCCACCACGAAGGCTGCCAATGCCTTGGCAACCCCGCCCCGTACCCCTGCAGGAACTAGCATCCCTACGTACCAACGGTTACTCCTGGACAAAGAGCTGGTGTTGCTTTGATACATCTTTCTACAAAGTACAATGGGAGCACACAAAGGCTAGTGTTTGTGTTGGTTACAGCGTTTTCTGTTTCACTGAGCAACTGCCAGAGTTTCAAGTTTATCTTTACAAGGCACACTTGACCCTCCCGCTGCCTCCAAAAATATTTGTTATCTCAACATCCTGTGGAGGACCATTTGGAAAAGGAAGGGGAGGAGAAATGCAATGTTTCACACTGGAGGAGAAACTTCCAGAGGACCCTGTTTATTTGTGCAAAAGCACGCTAGCCAGTAAGGAAGCTGCTGCTTAGAGATAAGTGTATTTGAGAATTTTTTAACAGTCTTTATCTAAATACAGCAGAGAGTGTCTTCATGAAGATTTGGAATAGAATAGCTTGGGAATGGAAGAGGAAGAGAAGATAGGCACATGTACCTGGCAGCAGAAACAAACAGGGTTTTAGCCAGGAAGTAGTTCAGCCTTTGTCTCTTTTGCACTTAGAAAGTTCTTATTTCTGTGTACTAATCATAAAATGCTCACACGCACAATACTCTCAGTATTACAGCCTAGAACATAAACTTTTCTTCATTTTTTCAGGCAATAAACCTAAAATATAGCCGTGGCTTATCTTTGTAAAATGCATCTTGAGATTAATTGGGAAAACTCCCACAGAAAACATGAAATGATTTTCAAGTTTAGGACACAAGGACTGTTTTGAAAATTGAATTTTTACTCTACACCTTCTTCTTCCTCTCATTACAAGACAAACGCTCGCTTGTAACAAGTTGTCATCAGACAAAGGACACTAGTAGGTTCAAAGGCAATACAAAATGTGAGCTTTTCCCAAATCTAAGCTACTTAAAGATACTTCAATATGTTAAAAATGGATTAATAATTTTTGCCACAGTATTAAGAAACTGATCCACACTAATTACATCACGAGACCTTTTTATTACCAGAAAATGCCTTATAACCAAAGTTCAACATGAAGTTGGATGCATCCAGTTCTCCCTCTACAAAATGTAACTTTGTCACATAATTGTTCAGAAACTTGTTATTCTTCGTTTTTAAACTGGTTTTCTTCAACTTAATACTTCCTCCATCCCAAAATTATAAATCCTATCTAAGAACAACTTCTGTGTAAGGACTAAGGAGGCCCTAAAAGCAGTTACACTTCCTAACATTTTCATATATTTCCATCTTATATGCAGACAGGCTGAAAAATCTACTTTTTCTAATTTGCTCAAAATATATTTGACATCACTTGTTTAAATAGTAAAAGAAAAAAACCCAGCTTTACAGGGTACATATTAAAAATAAGTGTTCAGAACCCACAGAAGTCTGTTCCAGCCCCAAAAGGGATCTTCTGTGACCAAAGCCATTGACTCATTACATGCTTTCTCATTTCCCTGCAACTTCTTTGCCTGTTGACCATCATTGGTAACGCAAAACCACAGTTAGCAAACCCTGAACGCATGGCTCTGGACTGCAATGTCTCTTGGCCATATTTGTTTAAACAACCTTAAAATATGATACCCATCTTCAGAGCTAGAGCAGTACGCAGCCCTGGGTTTGGTGCGACTGCACGCACAGTCGTCCCCACCACTCAAGGAGCTGAGCAGACACTAGGAAAGTTTGTCGGAATACCATAGTGAGTTTGGCAACTGAACGCTCTGCACCACTGAAGCACAGCCCCGCAAGCAGGCGTACGCAAAGCCACCTGTGGAGAACAGCGTGCTTGCCCTGCCCGCCAGGAAGTAAACAGAGGTAAACACCACCCTATCACTTTCCTGGTACAGGCATGTCTGTTGCTTCTTCCACAGAAATAAATTCCAGAATGTGTCATACAAGCTCTTTAACACCATGAGTCACAGAAAAGGTTAACTACCAGGCAAATCATGTAACTGAGAGAGCATAAACCGGTTGAAAACACGAATGGTTTGGAGCAATGTAATTGTTAGCCTGCAATTGCTATTTTTATTGCTTACAGGCATCCTCCTATGAACAAGTTATTGTTAGATCACAAATAAACCCAGTAGACATAAGTCAAAATGAACAGAATTTTAAAAAAAATAAAAAATAAAAAAAAAGAGGATCACTGAGGATCACTCTGCATGATGAATACGGAGCTGAGTCAACCAAGGAAGCTCTGGGCTGCTCTGTTTTTGCTTTAAGTCAGTAGTCTGTGTTCAAACCATTCTTGATAAACAAGCTCAGCTCACTCTGTGCTGGCAACTTAGCAGAAGCATGTTCTTTTCATGTGAAAAGGAACCACTGCCAGCATCACAGCAAGGGCAAAAGGTAATTTTAAATACTTCTCTATTGACTTCTTATTCTGGACCTTACACACTCACAGAGTCCCGACTGCTTGTTGTGGTTCAACCCCAGCCACCAACCAAACACCATGCAGCCGCTCACTCACTCCTCTCCCGTCCCAGTGGGATGGGGAGGAAAACTGGACAAAAAAATCCCAACCCCCAAACTCGTGGATTGAGATAAGAACAGTTTAATAACTAAAGTAAAATAAAATATTAATGATAATAATAAAGCATGACAATAATAATAATAGTAATTGTAATGAAAAGGAATGTAATGAAAAGAGAGAGAAATAAAACCCAATAAAAGACAAGTGATGCACAATGCAACTGCTCACCCCCCACTGAACGATGCCGAAGCAGTGATCCACCCCCTTCCCCCTCCTGCCAGCCCCCCCCAGTTTATATACTGGGAATGACGTTCTATGGTATGGAAGATCCCTTTGGCTAAGTTGGGTCAGCTGCCCTGGCCATGCTCCCTCGCAGCTTCTTGTGCACCTGCACACTAGCAAAACACGGGAAGTTGAAAAAGTCCTCGATTTCCTAGCAACAGCTAAAAACATCAGTATAGTATCAACATTCTTCTCACACCAGTTCCCATACTGAATCCAAAACACAGCACTGTTCTAGCTACTAAGAAGGAAAATTAGCTCTATCACAGTTGAAACCAGGACAGTACTTCTAGACATCTCAGAATAAAAATTCTTATTGCAATTCTTCCACGCAACAAGCTCCAACTCAAACTGAAAATTACTGATGTAATAAATCAGAACACCCAACATGCACAGCCAGATTTTATTTACAGCCTGAGATCACTTTGTATTTTCCCACATACTGTCACTAAGAGACATCTCTTTCATATAAAATCTTGGGCTCACAGTCTTGAGAGCTTGATAGAAGTTTGCTTGTACCAGACAGGACCAGCAGAGCAGCTTCACTTGTTGAAGCTTCTACAGAGGTTGAAGTCTTTTAGGGATAATCAAAATTTACATTGTAGGATAATCTCATTTGCGTGTTTTTAGAAACAAGAAAGTTTTCAACAGCTTTTATAAATAAACAGTGTAAAGCAGCTACAGTTATGTCAAAAGTGTTTTCCTTCTTACAGTACTTACATTTTACCTGGACTAAAATATCAGTCTTTACAGTAATCTCAACTACCTGTTTTCTAAAGGCTCTTCCACGTTTTTTGAGTCTTTTTGTTTCCACAGATTTCCAAGCACAATCCCTGTGAAGAGCAGAACTCCTACAGTACGATTTGAAGCAAATTTCTTCCAACAGTCTTCAGGTTTGTCTATGTCCAAAGTGTAAATCTGCAGAAGCACAGTATAACATTCTAGTATTATTATTCTACAGGCTTGTAAATATTTGACACATCACAAAAGGACACAAAAAGGTCTGTACCTTCAAAAACGGAATCTCAAAATCTAAAGTCTACCCGTACCTCCACAATAAACAGGAATACTCTGTGCTTACAAGGGATTTTGTGCATAACTGGCACCTATGTTTACTTGACAGATTTATTTAACATACAGTGGAAAAGTCAAGTATCATATACGAACACAATTCCTGGACCCTCTCAATGAAGGACCATATAAACAGCCTGGATACTCATGTGTCTGCTTTGACATTTAAAAATGTAAAAATACCTGCGCATGTAAAGAAGTCTTTTGGGGATTTTCCTCAGCAGGTAGCTACCTTCAATGGGAACTTTAAATAACAACAAAACCCCCAAAACCTGCCTGCACCTTTAAATCTCTGCTGCAAGGTGTTGCTCCGTGTTTCAGTAGAGACAAGGCACTGGTGAGCCAGCAGTGAACCGGACTAACCGGAACACAAAGGAAGGTGCCTGCCCCTGCCCAGTCACACAGAGGTGGTTTAGTCCAGTCACTCTTAGCCAGTCCGTTCAACTCTTGCAAAAAAAAGAACCAGGACACCCGCCACAACAGCCAGAAGCAAGGCTTGCCCAGCTTGGCAGCTGTCTGCTGTGAGTCACAACTGAAGGTGAAAAAACCCCACACATTGCAGCAACAGCAAAGTTACTGAAAAATATTCCCGGAAACAAAACTGGGTGCAGAAGTCTTGAGAAGGATGACAAGAGGAAATGTTAAGCAAAACAAGTGAAAGGATTAATAGAAAAGTACCCCCCCGCCCAAACTCGAACCTTGCAATTCAGCCTCTGAAGAAGTCAAACCAAAATGTACCCAACTAAAAGAACTGAAACCTTCCCTGGGAAACCTGTTCCTCTGCTATTTACAGTTGTACAGAGGTGACAGGGCTGGGTTCTGATCAAATAATCTGAAATATCCACAAGCTTCTAAGACATGATGTTATCTACACCCTTGAAAACCTGTCAGTCCCTCAAGCACGGGGAACTAAAACCACTGAACTGTCAAATACAACTCAACGCAGCTAAGCCACGAGACACACCTTCAGAAATGCAAAGCAAATAAAAGATGTTATTTTTCTATTGGTGAACTTCTTATGTGGGATAGAAATCTGACATCTTCATGACACAAATTCCTCTGTCTCAGGCACAAATTCAATGAGTTAAGGAAAACCTACCCCTTATGTGGCTTACCCAGCTTTCTACACTCAGTTAAGCACATGTTCAGAAATCTTGAACAAGAAGATAAGCACGAGAACGTTTAGGCAAAACTGACATTAAAACAATCACTCAAAAAGAAGCTACTCTGTAGTACACAGAACCGCT